GTTTTTTATTACTTCTTTAATGCTGTCAAACTCAGCTTGATGATTATCAAGCCATAAAAATTCACTATCCTTCTTTAACAAATTACGTATATTGACTGTTAAAGAAGGTAAATTGGGAATTAAGTCCCTTATATAATTAACTATTCCTAAAAACTTTTGTACGTCTTCCAGATTTTTAGGATTTGGAATACCATTAAATATGCTTTCCCGATGACGAAATCGAGACCGAGACTTCCCGGGAAGTCTCGGTCTCGATCTCGTCTCGGTCTCGAGAATTTTCCGAGACCGAGACCCGAGACTAGAGAAGAAAAAAATTTAAGTGAAAATGATAATTTTAGAATTTTTCCCATCACAGTTTGTAGTTAATCTTACAGTTAGGGTAAATGACCTTGAAATTTGCGCATTTTCACACATGAAATTTTCATTTGCTTCAATCTCTTCGGAGGTATGGGATTTTTTCTCTTTTTGTATGGGATTTTTCGGGTGCAAATTATTGAGCTTCCTAATGGTTTAATATCACTAAAAATGATGCAAAAACATCTGCGCTGGTGTTCTACAAACATTTCCCATTGATCGTCTGAACAGAAGTGACATTTTTACATATAATTTTAAAATTTTCGTTTTCATACGAGTGCGCAAATTTCAAGGTTGCGCAAATTTCAAAGTCATTTACCCTATCCAATTTTTGTGAATATATATCAATAATAAATTAATTATTAGTAAAAGTTTTAAGCAGTTTTTAAAATGTATTAATATTTCAACGTAAAACCTGAATTTAAAATAAAAACTCCTATAATTTTTCATAGTTTGAAACTAAATTTACCGTTATCGAACTTATTGACATTTTCACAAAAAAAAGAATAGTTTTAATAGGGACACACTTTCTTATCATTATGCTTTTCTTTTATCATTACGTATTTCGTATTTCTATTATATTTTATATTAGTATTAAGACAATAAAATTAGTTTGACTGACCGCATAACAAGGAATATATCCAGAAGTTCAATAACAAATAGACGTAATCTACATGTTCAAAGTGTTTTTTAATTACTTTCAGCGAAATTTTAAGTAGTTTTTAAAGTCGAGACTTCCCGGGAATTCCCGGGAAGTCTCGGTCTCGGTCTCGAGAATTTGTCGAGACCGAGAAATCGAGAAAGCTTACCATTAATTGCTGAAATCCTTTCTGGATCAACATCTACTTTATTCTTAGAAAAGATATGGCCAAAGAATGTTACTGAACTTTGTGTGAATTGTAATTTCTTCTGATTGAATTTCACACCAGACTTTAATGCCCTGACCATTAATCTTCCTAAATTCTCATCATGTTCTCTGAGCGTTTTACCAGTAACAATAATATCGTCAATATAAAATTTGACTCCAGGTAAATCGCCAAAAGTATCCGTCATGTACTTTTGAAAGATTTCTGATGCAATATTTATACCAAAAGGCATTCTATTAAATTTCCACAAGCCAAAAGGAGAACTAAACGTGCACAATTTTTTGGATTCTTCGTCCAACTCTATGTGCCAAAAACCATCCTTGAGGTCTAAAACCGTAAAGTATTGAGAATCTTTCAAATCTTGCTTTAATTCATAAAGGGATGGAATCGGAAAATGAAACTTATTTAATGCTTGATTCAAATGTTTTGGATCAATACAAATTCTAATTTTGTCTCCTTTTTCAACAATTACTATACTATTAATCCATTCACGTTGTTCATTGACACGTGAAATAATTCCTATCTTTTCCATTTCATTTAATTTATTCTGAAGCTTATTCTTCAACTTGAATGGAATTCAACGATTCTGATTCGCCACCGGAATTGCATTATCCTTTAATTTCAATTTAAGAGGTCTATTAAACTTGCCTAAACCTGTAAAAGCTTTTTTATAAAAATCTAAAAACTTATTCTTTTGCTGTTCTGAACACAACATTTGATTCAATTGCAAGGAATCTATACGAGATATAAGTTTTAGATTTACACATGTCTCTAAACCTAATAAAGGTACCGTATGTTTATCAATGATTATGAATTCTTCAAGGTAAACATTGTTATTGAAATTAATTGGAAGAATCGTCTTCCCTAAAGGGTGATTGATTTCACCAAAATATCCTTGTAATTTTAAATTACTTTTCTCAATCTTAAATTTCTTTCCTAAACTTTTGAACATATCTATGCTTAAAGTATTAACCTGCGATCCACTATCAAACTTAAAATTGATCATTTTATCATACACGAGTAAGTTTTTGCTCCAAACATTGCCTATTGCATGTTCTTTTAGTTCATCACAATTGATTACTACATTAGACTCACTGCTTTTGCGTTCATCATCTGCACATACCTTCTCCTTCTTCTTTTTGCTTATTGAATTCTCAAAGTTTTTGCTCTTAATTTGAGAACTTTCACGTTTATTTGACGTCGGTTTGTGAAGAACACGTTGGTCAACTGCTGCTATTTGATTCGCTTTAACACTGTCTGATGCTAGTTGATTCAATTGTTGTTGATTGTAGTAGAAAATTTTGATTTTGCTAATCAACGTACGTAATGACTTTTCTTCAGATAAAATGAGCTTTTCTCGCAAATTGTTGTTATGCAGACCGAAAATTATTTGATCACGAATGGCTTCTTCTTTGAACTCATTAAATGCACAGCTATCGGCTTGGGTTTGAACGTCACTAATGAACTTGTCGACAGATTCCCCTTCTTGTTGAATTCGACCACGTAATTTCATTCGTTCAATTAAAAAATTTGATAACGGTGAAAAATGATTCTCGAGAGCCTCAAACACTTTTTCATAGTTCTGCTTCTCTGGATCTGTTAATTGCAGATTCTTGATGATATCCACTGACTTATATCCCATCAATAGTGTCAATAAATTGAGTTTGATGTTGTCGGATTTCTCATCAAGTTGGTTGATTACCAAATATGAGTTGAATTCTTTTGAAAATCGTTTCTATTCAATTTCTAACGTTGAAGCTTCAAAATTGAACTTTTCAATACTTAAATACGACTGCGCCATGTTTTATTTTTGATTTTTCAATGAAACACGTCTTTATGTTTTTGTTCGAGATATTCAACTGATTTATTGTTTTTCTCGGATTACTGATATCATTATTTTACAGTTTGCGCCTGAAATTTTACATCTTTTGCAAAAATCAGAACTGACTCGCTAGCTTTATACCTTCAAACATATGCTGAGCGAAGCTCAGCTGACTCGCTAGTTTTATACCTTTTAAATTAATACTGAGCTAAGCTTGGTCTTTCCACGAGACTTTATAGTATGGTGCGAATATATCCGCATTGGGTCTCTACCTGATACACTAGTTTTGTTATTAAAAAAGTTACAGGAAAACAAAAATGCATTTTTGCAAACTTTATGACTTCAAATTACTTTGCATCACTTTGCTACACGAAATTTTTTTTTTTTTTTTTTTTTTTTTTTTTTTTGCTTCAACTCATTATTTATTTTTTTTTTTTATTTTATCTTCCTTTTTTCCCACTCTCTCCTTTCAAGGAAAAAGCCCCCTAAAACAGTACTTAAACTGTTTGAAGAGGCATAAAAAACCTTTGAGAGAGTGAAGAATTACATTAAATATAAAAATTGAATAAAATTACAGTAAAATTAATGTTACAGCAAAAGAGATCAATGAAACATTAAGTTTCCTTTAAGATCCTCTTTGAAAGAATACCGAGTGTAGGCATTATAAAATTAACGTGCGAATAATATTTAAAACAAGCAAATTCAAATAAAAAATTTTAAAGACCAAAAAATATTTGAAATGAGATTCGAAAATTAAATCAGTAGTGGAGAATGTATCGTCTCGGTAATTTTAAAATATGTAAACATACATTTAGAACAAAGATTGAATAATTAGCCATGTAGTGATTGAATATATAGGAAACAATTGCAGGAATTCAGATAAGTACCGCAAAATAATTAAGCTGGACATTGTAATTAAAAGGGTCTACATATTTTAGGTAAAATCATAAGTATTTTGAGAGAAATTGTCCGTTGAAGCAGGAATCCAGAAACATATCGTTACGGAGATAATCTTTCGTGGCTCGCTTGAATGAGTGGATGTGATGTGATTTCTGTATCTTCTCTGGCAGTTCATTAAAGATTTTTGCACCAATTGAAGAGATACGTCTCAGTCCATATTGTGTTCGTGAATTTTGTGGCTTAATGAATTTTCTCGATCTGGAGCTTCTGGGAATGGAGAATGAGAACTGTAAGTTATTGTGATACTTATTTTTGATACAATTGAACATAAGAGATGCTGTATTGACATAAAATATTGCTCTAATGGGAAGAAAGCTATTGACTTTGTGTAGGTACATCTGCACTCTATTTTCTGTTCTGTCTAGGCAATAAACATTTCTAAGCGCACGATTTTGGACAACTTGTAGTGACTTTAAAGCTGCATCACTCGCACTTCCCCAGATTGGGGTCAAGTAATTCAAAATTCGAAATTCGAAATTTCGATGTAATTAGTCGACATGTAACATTTTTGCAAGATATATAGATGAGCTCATACAAAGGATACTCGACCTAATGTGTACATAAATATGTCGTCAGACAAAATAATAACCCTTAAATTTAAGTCTATCATAAGAAGAGAAAAGAATCAAATGATCATCATGGATCACTTAAAGTCATTAACACGAATCAAGAAAAAAGATCATCGAATATTGATGGATTTTAATAAAATTATACGATCGACATTTAGGCAGCATCTTATCTGCACTTTATACGATAAAAATCATCTGCATTATACCTTTTTTAAAGCAACAGCATTTCATCTGCATCTTAGGGAAAATAAATTTGATCTGCACTTTAGCAGTACCATCTGCATCTTGGCAGTACTATCTGCATTTTAGGAATTTTTAGATTGAGGTCAACTAATTGCTGTTTTTTCTTGAATTTTATTCTAATAGTTTAATTCTTTACCACGATACATTCTTTAATATTTTTAATATAACTTATTAATTATTAAATGATTTGTTCAAAATTTTTTACTAAAAATGCTGTTATTAAAAGATCGATCACATAATACGTAAAAAAAATCGATGGATTAATTTTTTTAAAGTATATAAATAAATTAGGAAATTATTAAAAATACATGAAAATAATTATGTATTCAATATTATTAACAGTCATGTTTTTTTTTGCTTATAAACATTTAGGTTGTAGTGATATTTCATATTTGTTCTGAATATCTTAGATTTTTTTCCTCTAGTTTTTTAACTAATTTATGTACTTATTAATTTTTATCATAAATTAAAATAATTTATAGTTTTGTGTTCCAATTTACTTTACTTCACATTTGACATTTTCAAAGCCAGAATCATCATCAGAACTTCCAATGACAGCTTTAATGATCTCTATTGCTTCAATGCTTTTTGCTCGCTTTTGATTTACATTTTGTTCCAGCTGTGTGACACTTCGGTCATCATCAATGAATATTATTGACTTTTTTCCAATCACGTCGTTTTCTTGTGATGTTTTTTTTTTCCCGAAAGTAGTGAATGATAGCGGTGGCGATGAACTTGAATGAGAATTTGAAGAAAGGGAATCCATTGAACCAGAAGGTGTTGGCATTGTATTAGATAATTTGTTGCTGTACACATCAGCATCGTGATCTGTAGTTTTTTTTGACTCTATAGAACCATCAAGGTTTGTTGCAACTATTTCTTCTTTGGTATCGATAGACATATAATCACTAACTTCACTACAACTGCTACTTATTAGTTCTATGGGCAATCGCAAAGAATCTTTCGAATAATTTAAATCTGCTATAGACGGTGATTCGCTCTAAAAAGAAAATACACAAAGTCAAAATAATTTTAAAAAAAATCCTCGAAATATAAATTGTTTTTTTTTTCCTTACGGTTTCGCATAAACCAGAATCATCTTCATCAAAACCAATGTTCTTCCTTATTGGCCACTCAATTTTTAATGGAATTTCGGCTACATTTCCTGTTTCATTATTTTCATCCTAAAATCAATGAAGTTTCGGTATTTTTTAAATATTTAATTAGATAAACAAATTAATTTAACTTGGCAAAAATTCTTACTTGAAATTGAGACCACGAAAAGTTGTGATCATTTTCATTTGGCCATGTATTATGAAGCAGTAAGCTATTACCATGGAATGGTCTCGATGTACTTGAGATATTAAACCCATCATCTATAGTATTAGAAATATCATACAATTGATTTGAATATGTAAAATAATCAACAGAGAAGCTTCCGTCATGTAGATAATTTGACCATAATTGAGGTTCGCTGTAGGCAGGAGAGAGTTGAATTACTTCACTTGGATATTCGTAAACATTGTGATATCTCTGAATTTTAAATACAACACGTCGTTTAGCCTTTAATGTAGCTTGATCCTGTTCTTGCTGAAATTATTCAATAAAAAACTTATCATATAAGAAAAAAACACGATTTTTAGACCCCCCCTCTGTCACAGATGCTAGTTCCCTCCATTGCCTCCCCTTGTGACGTTCAATCAAAGTTCTATCCACATCTTCAATAGCAATCTATTCTGCATCATTATTAATTTGAACCATTATCTAATTTTTGCGCTTTCTGATGATTTTGTTCGGTTTCCTGTTTTTTTTTTTGTATTGAAAGTCATGGACAGTACATGTCATAAGCAATATTTGAACTAATAGTCAAATTTTGAAAAAGGCTTGCAAAATTGGATGTCACAAATTCCTAACCCCTCACCATACCCTCCCACCACCCTCCCCTTCCCACTATGGGGCAAAAAGAAAAAAAAATCGATGATTCAAATTTTTTTTTGACTTTTTCGAGTGACGATCTCTGGGTGATTTTTTCTTGTAAAGGACATCAAAACTGGATTATGTTCCAAATTTCAGGTCATTTGGTGCTGTTTTTGCGATTCTGTGGCTGTTTGAAGTTGGAAAATGACGAAAATTTGAATTTTTTCATGCATTACTTAAACTGCAATTTCTCTACAATGGCTAAAGATATTGAAAAAAGGTTTTCAGTTCCTAATAATAACATATAAGAGCTTTATTTTGATGTAACACAAAGTTTGGAAATATGTAGTTTTGGTTCCGATATAGTACAAAGTATATGAAAATCCCATGAAAAATATCTTTAAACGTGCCGCAACTGTCCTAAACGGCCATTCCCCCCCCACCCCCCTCCATAAACAATGCAAAGCTCTTGTTTTTTAGTTTCCAAAACAGTAATAACATTATAATTTTGTAGAGAACTAGAAAAGTTATCGCAGTTTAAGTGAGACGACAAATATTTTACCAAAATTAAAATTTTCACATAACTGTATAGAAAAAATAACCACAGATAAGGTTTGTTCTGTTTTTCAATGCCAAATGTTATTTAAAGATGACTTGCGAAGAAATTTGTCGATATATAGGGTACTTTTGATATGTGACGACTTGTATGTTTTTTTCATCACTCAAACCACTAGCACTCTTAGAAAATTAAACATTTTTTTTGTTTTCAGTTTATTGTAGCTTAAATCAGTACCTTTCTAATGATGTATAATACTTGATAGTTGATTTTGATCTTGGTCATGAATATAAGGCTTGTTTGTGAGCGACCCTAAACTAGAAAAAATCTCAAAAACGTCATTTCTAGAAATACCACTTGGAAACAAAATTAAGTATTGAGTTTTGGTTTTTTATAATGATTTATGATAATTGTATTTTATAATTTTTTGGCTATCTCAGGTAGCTTGTTTAAGTACGATCCTAGTAGTCTTTATTGGGTCAAAAATTCCCAAGTATTACACTATTTCTTGAATGCTTATCGGTTGATATTTCATATTTATACAGATTTTAAGCAAAATAAGTCAGTTTAAAATATTTTTGTTTGATAAATTTTGGTTTTTGACTATTTTGTTGAAGTTTAGCTTGCGTCGGTCACATTCAATTTACTCCAGAAGCAGCTATAATATACTTTCATACAAGTATTATAAAATACAATTTTTTGAGTGTTTTTAGTCATAATTATCATAAATCATTATAAAAAACCAAAACTCAATACTTAATTTTGTTTCCAAGTGGTATTTCTAGAAATGACGTTTTTGAGATTTTTTCTAGTTTAGGGTCGCTCACAAACAAGCCTTATATTCATGACCAAGATCAAAATCAACTATCAAGTATTATACATCATTAGAAAGGTACTGATTTAAGCTACAATAAACTGAAAACAAAAAAAATATTTAATTTTCTAAGAGTGCTAGTGGTTTGAGTGATGAAAAAAACATACAAGTCGTCACATATCAAAAGTACCCTATATATCGACAAATTTCTTCGCAAGTCATCTTTAAATAACATTTGGCATTGAAAAACAGAACAAACCTTATCTGTGGTTATTTTTTCTATACAGTTATGTGAAAATTTTAATTTTGGTAAAATATTTGTCGTCTCACTTAAACTGCGATAACTTTTCTAGTTCTCTACAAAATTATAATGTTATTACTGTTTTGGAAACTAAAAAACAAGAGCTTTGCATTGTTTATGGAGGGGGGTGGGGGGGAATGGCCGTTTAGGACAGTTGCGGCACGTTTAAAGATATTTTTCATGGGATTTTCATATACTTTGTACTATATCGGAACCAAAACTACATATTTCCAAACTTTGTGTTACATCAAAATAAAGCTCTTATATGTTATTATTAGGAACTGAAAACCTTTTTTCAATATCTTTAGCCATTGTAGAGAAATTGCAGTTTAAGTAATGTATGAAAAAATTCAAATTTTCGTCATTTTCCAACTTCAAACAGCCACAGAATCGCAACAACAGCACCAAATGACCTGAAATTTGGAACATAATCCAGTTTTGATGTCCTTTACAAGAAAAAATCACCCAGAGATCGTCACTCGAAAAAGTCAAAAAAAATTTTGAATCATCGATTTTTTTTTTCATTTTGCCCCATAGAGCTTCCCCCTAAATCTTGGACGTTATAAGTGAGATTTTTTTTAATAAAAAAATTACATCAATGCAAGCTTCTTCTTTTTCCTTCTCTGGACTTTTTAGTGATGATTTGCTTGGCTGCAGACTTTGATCCCAACATGAGGGAATAAATTCACTTTCTTCCTCTCCGGACGTATCATCTTCTGATTCACCTACTATACATAATATTTAAATATTCAAGGAAAAAATTATAAATGTTGAAAGATAAAGTAAAGTTACCATGTTCTAATTTAGGTGAATTACGAAGGGGCATTGTTTCAATATTCCATTCATGATATTCAGTTTTTGCTAAATCATTATCATTTTGATGCTTTTTTTGATTTTTTTCAATTTTTTGTTTACTCTTAGTATCTTCTAAAAAGTTTTTAAAAAAATGAATCTTATATTCATCTTGTATCATATTAAAATTTAAATAATAAGGACCTTTGTTTGTTTCAGTTTTTGAAAAGACATTTTCGTTTCCACCTTTTACATACATAAATTCTATGCTTGAATGACTTGAATCATCATCGCTCCATTCCTTTGAAAATGATGTACTCATTACAGATTGATTACAGGACACTTCTCTGATATCCTGTGCCTAAATGATGAATTTTCGGAACATATTAGATTTGATTTAAACTTAAAAATTTTGTGTCTGTGAAGTACGCGAGAGCAAGTTGTTAGGGAGTGGTGAAACTTGGCCTGAGTTACTTCTATTTACGTCCTGCATTTAAATGTTTTCGTCCTTCACTTTTTCAGCGAGAGTAACTAAAGAAACTAAACTGTTATGGCCAAATTATACATGAAAATGGATCTACTAATTCTCTTGCGCCAAACTAGCCAGAGTTTTGAAAGATTTTTTTCCCATTTGAATGATTTTGCAAGATCTTTCAACGACAATGGACGATTTTTTCTAAAATATGTCTTTTCGCCTTATCATAAATATATAATTTCAGATAGCAATGGCCCAGCGGCAAAGTACAAGACTTTAAAAAAATCAGAACTCAGGACTCAACCTTGGTTCAAATCCCAGGACAAATCTGGCATGATCTTGCAAAAAATTTTCAGCAATTGTCCGAGGAAAGATCCCCAAAACCGCCTGTGTGAGTACGCCGGTCCAAGTTCGAATTTCGAGCTGAAACTTGGCTTGGTTATCGACACTTTTGCGACAATTTTCGACATCTTTTTAGTTTTTTTCGACACCCTTTAGTTGTCGAGATTTCAAGGCACAATGATTCAGATTTGAAAAAAAAGGTTCAAAAATTCAAAAATAACAAGTTAATTAAAATATATTTGTTGAATGCTAGATTAAAGTACATGATTTGTTTTATGTTCTGTAAAAATATCTCATTCCAATATGTTGTCTGACTCACAAAAATTCGATTCTAAGATGACAATCAATTTGTTTACAAAATGACAACAAATATTTTTCTTAAATTTTTTCTCCTTTCTACTCCTAATTTCCAGTTTTAATGCTGATAACTAGCTTAATTAAGCTTAGTACTTTGTGTTTATGTGAAGAAACCAAAAGAGGACCTATTAATTGGGCGAATATTCATGATTAATTTTTTTGAAATTAACCAAGACTTTAAATACTCATAAGTTAAATTTGCGTCTCTTTGCTTCTACCAAACTTATTAAAATCCAATGAATAAAGTCTGATTAACCTTCCATATTAATGTGTACATGCCCAAATATGCCCGAAGAGAGATATTTGCGATTGAAAATCAGTTAATTTTTCATACAAATTACTATCGTGCGCCAAAGTTTTTGATAAACGTTTGTAAAATTTGTAAAAAACTTTGTTTATCCTCAATTTCATGACTTAATATTTTGAGGAATCAATAATCAAGTAAGATTAAAGGCATTAAAAGTCCTGAACTAGAAAATATCAACAAAAACTTTCATTACTTCAATGTGTCTGAAAAATATTATGCACAAGGGTTATTTGAATATTTTTTTCAAATCTGAATCATTGTGCAAGGGTTGAAGTTTGGACAAAAAGCCCGGCGTACTTCATGTTTTCTGACGGGCTGATTTCTAAAAATAAACTTTATCGCAAATGTTATATATCAAATTGATAGTACTTTTTCCGACACTTTTTGACACGCAAACCGTTTTTAGATTTGATTGTTCATTGAATTGAGTTCTTAATAAAAATCTTAATTTCGAAATGTATTTTAAACAGTTTCTATAATAAGATTCTAGATTTATAAATTGAGATTATTGTTATTATTAACTTATGATTTTTTTAAAACTCATCACAGCTAAATAAATAAAATGATTTGAATTCATTTTTGAATAATCGTACTTTTTTGATAATTATTTTCTGAACAGAAGTATTAATTTTCAAATAAGATTTGTTAGAATTGCAAAAATATTATTCTTTTGTTCATTTACCTATGACTTATGTATAAAAACTTCAAGCAAACAAAAACAAATTCTCAATTTAAAAAAAGTCAAAATTTTTAAAACTAGAAACAGAAGTTTAAATTAAAAGCAAATAATTTTTTGAACAGATATTATGATTTGTAATAGATTTAAAATTTTAAAAAGTTGATTTAGATTTTACACAATTACTTCAAAAAAGTCAATTTTAAATTTTTACTATGAAACATAATTTTAAATTTTTCAGAGAGTTCAGAAAATATTCTGCAGTTTTGAAATTTATCAAATAGAATTACAACAAGAAAGTGAATTAAAAATTCAAATGAAATTGTCAAAAAAACCTGAGATAAATTTTCTGAGTAAACTTTTCGCGCCTACCTCATCACTTGAATGGTCATAGCTCAACGACAAAATTATTGAAATGATAAGATCCTTTCATATTTAGATTAGTCAGAAAATAAAGATGAGTTTTCAGCTCGAAATTCGAACTTGGACCGGCGTACTTCACACAGGCCCCATAACCTTGTAAGGGATATGTATAGTAATAGGAAGTAGGGATGTAAAAAGACGTAATTCAAGCCAAGTTTCACCACTTCGTGACAACTTGCTCCCGCGTACTTCACAGACAAAAATTTTTTATTAGCAATTATAACCAATTTGAAAATTTTAGGATAAGGTATCTTAACTAGAAGCAATAAGAAAGCAAAAAAGGACAAATAATTTAAAAATAAAAAGTTTCTTTGTCGATTCATGTGCAAATTTTCTTCTATTCTGTTAAGAAATTTATCAGGTGTTATGTGTACTTAAGAGTACACAGCGTACTGTTTTTCAATGAAATTTAACATTGAGTGTGAGAAATATGAGGTAAGATTTAGGAAATTTAGATTTTGGTGCATTTCCCTCACAAAAAACCAAGACAAAAAATAAAGATTTCCTGCAAAAAGAGTGTCGAGAAAAAAATAACCAAACCAGAAGATTAATATAAGGAAAATGCACCTAAAATCAATATATTTTATTAATTTTAATTTTAAAAAAAATGAATGGGAATAAAAATGAGAAATACAAAGAAAAAAAAAATCATGCAGTCAGCATACAATAGTAAAAAACATTTAATTTATTCGATTCGATGAATTTCGTTAACAAATGAAAATTTTTAAGGCACATGTGTTAGATACTTGATAACGAAAAAGACATTTTGTAATTTTCTAAAAACTTATTCAGAATCTTTTTTTTGTTTTGTTTTCTGATAAACGGATTAAAACTAAAAATCAAAATATTTTACAATGCTTAGAAAATGAAATTTTTGATGTGAGAGAACTGTTAATTTAAATTTTACTAACTTTCTTTGATTCATTGTCTTCTGATGAAACTTGCTCTTTTATTACGTTTTTAACAACACTATCGATTATATTTTGTACTGAATTATTAGCATCGGTTATAGAATCATTACTATAAACACTTTTCAAATTTTGACTAGCTAAAGTTGAGTCAGTTTCCATCTCATCTATTAAAAAAATAATTTTTAAATAATGTATAAAAAAATTACAAAAGTCCTTGTGTTATTGATGGAGGGACTTCAGCGCATTTTTGACACAGCGATCAGTAATTGATTTCTAATAATTTTGCGTTCATTTACAGATCATCAGAAGATTAGAAGATCATTAATTATAGTGCATTTAACAATATAATTTCTTTAATTTTCATATATAAATTGTTTATCATTTAACGGTTTTCTGAAGTTCAAATTTTGTAACGGTCGTATGAATTTGAAAGTATCTTTCCAAAAGTTACAGTAAAAGCATTAATTATAGTATAAATAACAGTCTGTTGCAAAAAAAGTTTTCATATAAAAAGGCTTGGTAATTTAATGGTTTTTTGAGATTCAAAAATTTTCAAGAAATAATAAAATATTAATAGAAATAAATTCGAATTTCTAAACGCTCTCATCACGTGTTTTTTCATATGAAATATAAAAATCATTAATTATAGTACAAAAACACTGTTTCAAGACTTTTAAATGCGTTTCCCGAAAATAAAACAATGGACCTGAGCTGATAAAACAAACTAGAACTCTCTACGATGTCTAGTTAAAAAGTTTTTCTCCACCCGAACGAACGAACAAAGCGACATATTAAGCTACCCCTTCGAAAACAAGTTTTCAAAAATGCGCTAAAAACAAAAGTCTTCTTGTTATTGATCGAGGCAGTATTGATACCTAGCACATGACTTTAAAAAGGTAGACCTTAACGTAGTCAACTTGGAATCAAAGGCACAAGTCTTTGTGTTCGTCAAATGCAATTTTGCCTTTATTGTGCCTTAAAATCTCCACCCTGAGCCAGAAATTGAAAACTTTTCCCAAAATTATTTTTTGGTTGTCCTGTCAACTGTGAATTGTAGCGATAGTTTTAGTGGGGCGAGAAAATGCTCCTCATCGAAACTTTGAAAAGCTATATCTCAGAACTTTGTCCGAATTGACTCCTTTTGTAAGTATTTTAATAATAGGAATGAAAGAGCTATCATTTAAACCAGTGTTGTCCAAACTCTTTTGAGCCACTACATTTCTTAGGGATAAGCCATGATCAAAGTCGCACACAGTATGCGGCTCGCGTTATTTACAATAAATTTCTACGGCACACAGTTTGGACAACACTGATTTAGACCAAAAAATAATTTTCGGAAAAGTTTCCGAATTCTGGCCCATAGTGCTCTGCTTTTGTTCATTAATTTTTTAAAGAGGAAGTCAAAAAATTATCAAATATATATTTTTTATTACAAACTGCAGCAATAATCTTTATAAACCCGAGGTCGAAGTTAGTGAAGTGAAGTAGATTCGTGTTCACTCGAGTCGACTTGAAGTCGATGACATCTGAGAACCGAATGAAATCCGAACTGAGTTCACTTCATCGACTTCGACTTAGTTCTACATGAAACTATTATTTTGAAGTTTTCATGTAATAATATACTTAAAGATTATTTTTATGAGCAGCAAAGACAGGCAAAGGCAAAGCCTGTCTTGTGCCTTTGCAAGGGCAACTTTGTATCATCACTGGATCGATTGACTTTAGCGCATATTTGACGAAGCGATCAGTATTTTTTTAGCAACAAAATGCAAGTTAATAAGCAAATAGGTCCAAATAAGTGCTTTTAGAAAAGCTTCTTTTTCGTATTTTAAAAAATATTAAACAATAGGTACAGTTAAAAGATTTTTGTCCTTCAATGGTTATTTAAAATTCAAAAGTTATATCCAACATTCATTCTTCGAAGTCAGAAAAGGGCAATTCCACTGATGAGTTGAATTTCGAAAAAAATAAATTTTTGATCCATGTTCTTTAAAAATTTGATTGCTTCAAAAATATACCAGAGCTCAAAGTCGATAGGGTTCTCCGATTCTCAACTTCTCCGACTTCATTTTTTTCGAGTCGACTCGAGTCTACTCGAACTTAATTTTTTTCTGAAATATACTTTAACTTAGCTAACACTTTTTATAACGAGTTGAAGATCTTCATTGAAAGTTGCTTTTTTAAAATTCGTTTTCTCACGGATTTGGCTTAAGAGTTGGTATGTTACATTGATTTCGTTAAAATTATTCATTTTTCTGCCTAATGAGTGCATTTATAGTTAATTTATGTAAGCAGATTTATTAAATAGGATAGAATGAACAGCATAACTGAGCATAACAACCAATAATAGTTGTCTAGATGTCTTTAAAGGGGTAAATTACTGCATTAATTTAGGCATGTCAAGATGCATGAGTTGGACATAATAGAAGAGCTCGGCGTTTTACATAAGTTTGTGCAAGAATTGCAGCTTCAAAGTTCCCTAATTAAGAGAAAATTCGATTCAAAAATGAATATTTTGGAAAGATCAATCCGTAGAATTGCCCTGCTCAGGGATCAATAGCTCAAATTTTGCCCCAGCCGAATAAAGTGTATTATTAAGCTACCTTTTAGAAACAAGTTTTAAAAAATGTGCTAAAAACAGAAATTATAACAGATACAACTAGAAATGAAATCTCGTACCTATGAGTATTTTTTCGTCTTTTAGCTCAAAAGAATCAACTTCGAAATTGGACAACTTCGTCTTTTCATGTATATCGATTGAATCATGTCCCAAATGTTCTTCCTTTATCTTGTTCAAATGAATTTCATCGTTTTCTGTGTCAATAAAATGCTGATTACCGTTTTCATCATTTATTTCAAAATGGAAATCATCATCAATATCAAGTGAAATTGCATCGTCAATTATAAGGCTGCTTGCCTTATCCTCATCATTGTCATCACCTTCTGAAGCAAACAATGGTTCACTTATTTCTGAAATTCGCTCTTCATCGTTTTTTAAGACAAATGAAACGCACGTTTTTTGATCGTCAATTGTATATGTTACGTCTTCGTGTTCAAATGATAGTGAATCCGCAGTTCTATTTTGTTCTGGTGATGACAAATCATTTATAATTTGTTGTGCCTCGGGCAAATCCAATGGCCAAGAATTATTGGAGGCAATAATATTCAATTCGAGATTTAAAGGATGTAAGAGGATATTACTTTTCAATATATTAATGGCATCTTGACATTTATTGGTGTCATTAGCCATCTTTGGCAAATCTTCATTAGTGGGAGTTCTTTCATTACTAATTCTATCTTGCGACTCTTGTCTTGATAATGTAGACGATGTTGAAGAACCAGCAGTATTTATTCGAGGCGACATTAAAATGTCAGTATGATCGCTCAAAGTATCTTCAAAATTAAACAGTGTATCATTTGATGCCATTAAAGTTTTTGGCATTTGACCCATAACTGCATCGCCTGAAGCAGATTCCATTATTCCTGTACTCGTCTCATTCAATACGAATGTTCTACAAGTTTCATCACATTCCGACTCTTCTAAAATTGGTGATAAAGGTCTCTTGTTATAATTATTATAATTAATATTCAGTTCGGTCACTGGTTCAGGATTTAAAATGTGTCCAATTAAATCAAATGATCCGGCATTTGAAGCTTCATCGAGCTCCCCATATTTAATACCATAATTATCACTTGGCGAAGTTGAGTCCCTATTGATATCTTCGTCGTCCAAGAAATCATTATGTGCACCCATTCCTTGTGCACAATTTGGTAATATTTCAGTTAATTGTCGCTTCAATTGCTCAAAAGTTGAAGTCATATCCTCGATATTTAAGTCCTCATTTTCTTCTTCAACATCAAATGTATCGTTTTTATTGTGGGAATGCAAAAACCATCCATCATGATTAAATTTGATTTCTTCACTGTTTGAGACAAATGTTGATTTTTCACATGTCATTTTATTCCATGCTTCGTTTGAATAGCTTAGTTCTATTGGCGTATTTACGGGAGTAATTGTTGTTAAATCTTCCGAGTTCATTTCTTCCATATCCTTTTCAATTTTTATTGCTGGTAAATTTGATAGTTTTGGATCATATGTTTTATCATTTGGAATATCAAATGTTTGATTATTTTCTTCGAGTGGAACTGGGAATGTGCCATTAATTATTTCATTTGTCAATGAATTGATATTATTAGGAAAAAGTGCCTTTGAAATATCATTACTTTCTGACATTTTGTCATAACTTATTTTAGACGTTCTCAATGTGCTGGGTGTACTAATATCTTGTGGACGTAATGTTAAAAAATCTTCGAAGCATATCTCAGGCGGTTTGCTGTTCTCATTTTTGGCATTTTCTTTTTGCTTTAATATTTTTTCACAATCACTAACAATCGAATCAACCAAAAAGGTTGCTTCCTCTTTAATCACCTCGAAATCGACTTTTGCAACACTATCGATCACTATGTTCTCTAATTCGTCATCGTCTTCCTCAAAGCCTATCGCATTATCCAATGCTCTTAATGCTTCCTCAATACTTTTATCACCAGTAGAACAATTCGAGTTTTTGCTGTTGTGTCGCTCAAGACGAGTCGGGAGATCTTCAATACTATCATTAGCCTTCACTTCTTCACAATCTGTTTCTTCTTCTAGAATTTGATATTTCTCACTAGTATCGTTAATAGAACTATCAATTTCTGACGCATCATCTAAAACAATATAATTGAGTTGATTAAAATAAGTTTGTTTTCTTGATATAATTTTTAAATTTTCAAAAACTGTTGCTTGAAACATTATTTTTTTGGTTAAAAACTTTGAAAAAATAAGAACAAAATTAGATTTTTTTACAAAATGATTGCAGAAAAGTGCAAGTAAAAGCTTAAATTGAAGGATAACAGTTTTTTGTAGTACAATATCATTCAAAAGTCATTACAAAAGCATGTTTGATGCTAGCGTTTTTATTTTGAAATTGAAAATTAAACAATGAAAAATTTTTTTCGTAAAAATTAAGTTTCGAAATTTTAAAATTCGTTTTTTTAATATGCTGGGGGTCCTCGATTTGAGTAGTTATTTTGCTCCGAAAATTTTCTACTCAAATCGAGGCAAGGAATCCATATAAAATCACATGTTTTGTTCCAGAGTGCAAAAAATGTATCAAAACAATGAAAATTTATATAATTTTTTGCACATTTTACTGTTACGTTTCTTAACTTTTCTTTTGTATTTTAGATAACTTAATTTATTTTAAAGCATATTCATATGTGATTTTAACAGAAATTCACGAAAAATATGTTTTTTCAACAAATCAAAAATATGAGAACCTTACAAATGTTATTTGAACCTGTTTCAACCGAACAATTTGTAAGGTTTTGAAATTTGAATTTTTTAAAACCGTTATTTTTTATATCGATTTTGTAAATTTTTACATTAACTTTGTAATTTTATTATTGATTTTTCTATCAATATGATTAGTTTACGATTATTGCATTAAAATTTATGTTTAAAAATATTTTCTGATAAGTTTTTGTCAAAAACATTTGTTTTGTAAACAATTCAGCTCAAGTGCCTATTAAACAAATGCTTAATTGATTTATAATTAAACTAAAATAATAATTTACCTCTATTAGCCTCTTTGACAGTATCATCTTCAGTTATACTATTAAAGAATGGATTTGAAGATGTGAGACAAGATTCATTTGTTGATAAATTCTTCTGGACTAGCTTTGTTTCATTTTCCGATACTAAATTCAACGGTTTAATGTTTTCTTTTTTTAAATCGTATAAATCATTATGTGAATCAGTAGCTGGCGACAAAAGAATAGCTGCTCCTGATTTCTGATGAATTTGATCGTGATTCGGTTGTTGTTCTTGATACGACTGAACATTTTTGGCATACAATAATGGTGTCTTTGATGAAGGGGATTGATACTTCTTCTCAGTCTCAAATAAAATCGTATCCCGTGATATTTGTTGACTCCTTTCTCTTTGCGATAAATTTGGAGTTTTTTCTAACAATATCACGCCACTACTGTCAACACATTCATCCTTCCTTAAACTGTCATTTTCGTCGAGATTATCAGAACAGATCAGAAGATTATCGCGAGAAAGATTATTTCTTTCACATGGTACAATCGCTGAAGATTCATTTATTTCTGTCGAAAGGGCTCGAAATATAGGATATTCATTTTTTTTAATATTTTCTGGTGATCCGGCTTCATTTTCAAGTTTCTAATTTACAAAAATGTTTAATAAAGTAAATGAAAAAAAAAAGAAAAGAAAGAAAAACCATAAATATTATTCTAATGCTCTAAAAAGAATAAAAAAGTTTTAGAACTACTACCAAGGTCCCATTTTTTTGCTCAAGCTGTACAAGATTTAGCAAAATTATTAAAAGGAAAAGAAAATCAAAGCGATATTAGTGTCATTAACTTGTGTACATTTAATTACACTAAATATTTGCCTACCTCAAATGTCTTTTTTCTTCTAAAACAGATAGCGCAAGCTCCAATAAGGGAAATGGTCCCAAAAGCTGCTGCTAGCAAACACAAAACTATAGAAGCATTATCACCTATAATTATAAAAAAAGGTATAATGTAAACATATTTAACCCAACCCTAGAAGTTTTTTTTAAAAAAAAAATTATGGCAAAAGGAAAAGAATCGAATAAACGCGACAAAATCCTGTTGATCACGCAATTTTACAGTAAAGAAGAAATAGATGTGTACGTTGGACTAACAAATTAAATAGAGTAACTGATTTGGCTTTTAAATAAATATATTTTCAATATACTATTCAATATCTTAATTTATTTTTATGACAATCGATTTAAAATATCCAAAATGCATTGATGGCAACCAGATAGATAAATAAATCTTTTTAAACGCTCTTTTTCACCAAAAAAAATTTGTAGTGTATCTCGAAAATGAGCTGATCTGCAAGACCTTTTAACTGTCCAAAATTATTTTGAAGGCTTAACAGAAAATTGATTTAAATAAAGAAGAATCAATATTTCTTATTATTCTCTTCAATTAGCTGGAGCTAGTTTTAAAACAAGCATATTGACTTTATACACTAACAGTTCAATTTATGTCGCAACAACAAACAAAAATTGAACATTATTGATTTTTGCATTTTTTTCAACTCACCAATAGATGAAAATTTACTTGGAAAACAGTAACAAAAGTGGAGATTAATATAGAGTATAAAAAGAGTAAAATAGACCATATCGCACTACATTTGAAAAAAAATTAATTCAATGAAGGATTTTTGCACTGACAATTCACTTTTTAAGTAAAACAAATACCGATAGACTTAAAATGTTTAATCGAATATACTTTAACAATTTTTTGCTGCACAAACAAGTATTAATGTCTTATTTAATAGAATATGTTAAAAATAAGCTTTAATTAATTATTTTAAAAGGTTTTTTTATTAATTTTTAAGAAAATTCACAATGATTGAGTCCAAAAGTTAGGGTAGATGAAAAGGGGGCATCCAATACATCTGATATTGAAGTTTAAAATGAAAGTGACAGTTTAAAAAAATTGTCTAAAGCTTAGCTAAACCTCATTGGCAGACTCAAATTCTGTTAAGAATTTTCATGACTTAACTTAATGTGTTAAGTCACAAGTTTGCAGAACAAAAAAATAACAATATATGTAATTCCGAAAACGCTAGACTCATTCTAGTGTTTAAATTCAAATTATTCTGTTTGTATAGTTTGTACCTAAGAATATAATAGAAAATATCATGTAGGTAATATAAAATTAAGGCAGCATGATACAAGTGTAAAATAAAATTTATTTTGATTACATGTTACAAAAAGAGTTGTGTTTCAATATTTTTCGGCATAATCAAATTGGTATTAGAGAAGTCTAACATGCTTTAAACCATCTTTTTGCCTCTACATTTCCTACTTTACATGTCAAGAAGAGTTCTTCATCAGTAAATTCTCTTATTAAAGTAACAATCTTATCTCCTTTCTGTTCTTGTATCATCTTATTTTCATCGAATGTTATAACGCAAGGAATTTCTTGTCCATCCATTCGTTTTTCTGTAAATTCAACGCCTGGCTGGAATTTGATGGATTGTGATCGAAATGTAGATGTGGTATTGAAGCTATAATCATTGTCGCCTTCCTTTACTAACTCGACTGTTGAGGTTGTTGATCCAGCCATCTTGCGAATTAAGTAATTGACACCTTAAATGTTTTTAAGAAATAAAATCTTGATTAGAAGCACAGAAGTTGTTTTTAAATGCTTAATGAAGTTTTGATTAGGTAGGTGAAGTTTGCCATAAATTTATATATTGCAATCGATAAGAAAATTAATTTTTTGTGAGCTGAGATCATAAAATATCGCTATATTCCACAAATTTGAGAAACTTTATGTACGATTATTTGATTTCAATCCAGCATACCTAATTCTTTAAGGAAGTCATCGAAATTTTCGCTCCTTTCAAGCTTGTACTTCTTATTGAACGGAATAGACATGATGCTCAATATATTTAAATGTGATAAGAACAAGTTTTTTTTAATTTTAAAAATCCGTATAGAATTTACGATTGTAATGATTCGAAAGAAAAAAGACAACTGAATGAGAATAAGAGAATATTAAAATTTTTATACACAAGTCTTTTTTTTGAGAGAGAACAAATTCTCTTCATTTTTATTACTTTCTGCAGATAAAGCAAGAACTTTTATGTCAGTGGCTCATTGAACTTTAAATGCACAAAGATAATGCTGATTATCGATTGTGAACAACATTTTTCATTTAAAAACTATAAACCTGGTTATCGTCTTTAAATTAAATGATAAGCGCACCCGAATATACAAAGAGCATATAAGTGAGTCTACTCAAAAATTATACTCATGCAAGCTCATCATGCAACTGAGCATGCTCAGGAGTTCATTACGTTTATAAGCTCACGTGAGTACATTCAACGAGTGTACTCATGAGAATATTAAGAACATACTTATTTGACTATACTCGTATGAGTGCACTTACTGAACATTCTCATAAGAATAATAAGAACATACTCACTTCTGTGTGACATAATTTTTTTACGTTCTCATATGAGTGCACTTACTGAACATTCTCATGAGAATTTTAAGAACATACTTATGCGAATACACTCGTATGAGTGCACTTTCTGAACATTCTCATAAGAATAATAAGAACATACTCATGGGTATTTATTTTTATGAAAACACTTCTTAAACATACTCATGAGCATATAATGAACATAATTATATCTATATGATTTTTCAAAAACGTCGACCAACTTAAAATCGAACTTAGAATACATTTTTATGTAAGTCGACATTTTCAATTATGTCGACCAACTTAAAATCGAACTTAGAATACATTTTTATGTAAGTCGACATTTTCAAAAATGTCGACCAACTTAAAATCGAACTTAGAATATATTTTAATGATAGTCGACATTTTTTAAAATGTTATTTATAAAAAATTGTCAACCAACTTAAAAGCAAATATTGAATATTTTAGATATGTAATGCCAAAATGTACGAAACTTTTTACAATTTTAAGTTTTCTGAAATAAATGTCAAGGAAATAAATTAAAAATTACTTTGCTTTTTAAAAAACTATAAGAATTAAGCACGATCAAAATCTTTTGGCTTTCATGGAACTAATATTTAAATTCATAAAATATTTTCAAAAAATGTCGACCTGCATAAAAACGTATTCTAAGTTTAATTTTAAGTTGGTCGACATTTTTCATAATACGTTCTCACGATCGTGCTCTGATCCACTCAAATATTTCATAAAAATATAGTTCAATTAAGCAGCGTATCAAACTTCAAAGAACTTAGTTTGCCTGTAATAATATAATAATTTAAGTATGTGTTTTGCCATTTAAAAATTATTATATATTTACAGAAAATTGCTCCAAGGAAAAGTGTGAGGTGACAGAAGTTAAGCAACGCAATAGGTTTTTCTACAAGGATGGGTGACCGGTTTTTAAAACTTCTTTCTTAAGTATTTGAGATAAAATGTTAATAATAATTTCTAAAATTCTAAATAAATAAATAAACTCACTGAGCACATATCTTTTGAGTATCTTCATGAGTATAAGCTCTTTGAGTATGTTTATGAGTATATTCAATAAAAAATGTTGCATTAAAAAAATGTTGCGTGTTGGCTTCTCATTTGAGTTTGCTCATGAGTTTACTCAGTGAGCTTAATGCATGTCTCATAAGAATGTGCTCACTGAGCATACTCAAAAAGGTACCGTAATCACATCACTTTATTGTATGAAATGAGCACATTCTCACAAAAGTTTGCAAGCTCACAAATAATGTGCTCTGAGTATACTCATTGTATGTTCGGGGCATTATCATTAAAAACCAACAGACAGAGCAACTCAATAAAAAGCGTGTAAAAACAGATAGACTTTTGGGAAAGAATGAAAATTTCTCTCAGATAAGAATTTATAGATTAAAAAAGTGTTTTTTACAAAAAAAAACTGATGGAGTTAAATGGAGGCAAGATAGCTTAAAATTTTCCAATATGGTTTGACATTGATTGCATCAAATTAGTTGAGGCAGCACTGAGAAAATCGCTATTCAAGTTAATCAGCATCTACTTTTTTACATTCCATCCGTGATGCCTTAAAGATGAGTTGTATTTTTTTTTGGTCATAGCAGAAAAAAGGAAAAGCGAAAACCTTCCAATCTTACGAATTGTATTAAAATCCATTTAGCTTTAAATCTTCAAACATATGCAATATATCCGCATTGGGTTTATCCCCGATACTACTGGTATTACAGTTTGATTAAAACAGAAATTAATGGATGACACTAAATCTGATGAAATAAAGTTTCAAATCGTTCGAATTTCTTAATTAATTTTTCATTTGACTAGGTTTGATGCAACGCAAAAAAAATTATTATAAACTTAAACTTTCAGAGAAATTGATTTATTTATATCATATTTTGAACAAAGGCAAAACCGATTTATTTTTTAAAATTAATGGAGTAACTTCCGGTTGGATCTTGCTTCATCTCAAAATTATTAGTAGATAGACCAAAAGGTCGAAGAACCATATTGCCAAGATCCTTTAATTTTTCTAACATTTCTTCCTTCATTTTTTCATTCTTCTCATTAATTAATGTTGGCAATCTTAGTTGTGCAGATCGAGCATCAATATTTCCTGGATCAATTTCTAAGACTTTTTTAAAATCGTCTAAACTCTCGTCAAACATGCTTATCTCTTCATACAGCACAGCACGTCTGAAATGTTTATTTAATGTTTACTAAAGACATTATTAAGTTGAATTTGTTATTTACCTAAGCAAGACTTTAACATATTTTGGATTATATTCGAGAGCCTTTGCGCAATCATCTATAGCTTCTGTTTTGAGGTCTAGCTTTACTTTCGACAGGGCTCTATTTCCATATACTATGGATCTTTCATCTTGACATATCACAGGACATTTTCTCAAAGCATCAGTATATATTTCGATTGATTTTTTAAAATTCTGCTTCCGAAACTCCTCATTGCCTTTATTTTTCAGCTCTAATGCTTCTAACCTTGCTTGTTCTCTTTCCTCATCAGTTTGATTCTTTTCATAGTCTTTCTGTGATTCATCGTCAACAATAACATTTGATTCACATTCATGAAATTTGTCAGCGTCTTCAGCTTCTTTTTTAGAATCTATACTCGATTCATCACTTATGGCTCTTGCGTCCTCAAATTGTTCATCATCACTTGCTATAAGCTCAATTTTTTTAATTTCTTTTTCCATCTATAAAACTTCCTTCAAACTTTCTGAATGTAAACAACAACAATTAGGTAAACAAATATCTAGAAAAAGCGCGGATAAATTCAAAAAATATTATATTTTTTTATACCAACAAAATACAACTAAAATCGATTGAAAATCATGGAAATTACATTATAATAATATGTAGAGATTAACAATAGATGAAGAAAATAATTAAAAGAAGTTATTAAATAAATTAGACCTAGGCATGTTAAAAAGAGTTCGTTCAGTGTGCTTGGAGAAAAAAAATTGCATAAGAAATAAACAGAAAATTTTGGTAAGTTTTTATAAAAACAAAATTGATTCTGAATATATTGACAACTATTTAATTAACTTTACTAAGTGCAATGATCCGAAAGACGCTTTTGTTGGGAACACCTTTAAGTGCAACGTTATCAGCTTCTTTAATTTCTCAAAACTCGGATGAAAAACAGTCTTTAAAAAAGTCAATGATATCAAAAGCTAGTGAATTACCAATTTACACTAGTTTAATCAGGTGGTTATTTCTTTAACAAAAATGTTCATGTGAATCAAAAATTGATAGTATATCAACAAATATTGCATTTTAATTTTTAGTGATGAAAAGAAATGTGAAAAAAAATCTTCAAAATTAGTCGAGACTATTGAAGAAGGCTCAAAGATTGTCCGAACAGAATTAACAAAAGTCACTGATGTTTATGATAGTCAAAAAGCTGTCATAGAGCGATATTATGTCAGTTTTATGAAGGATACACAGCACATAAGAAACTATTTACAAGAGGAGGATAATAGGTGCGTAACAACAGACATTTATGCATTATTATATTTTTTTAAAAAGTAAACTTAATCATTTCATATATTGTCATTAAAGTTTGCCTAGAGTTGGAGCTATTTTCATTTCCTCATTAGCTGGTTTTGTTCTCGGTGGAGTTCGTGGTGGATTTTTTAGGAAAATATTTTATGCATCGATAACTGGATCTGGAATGGCATGTAAGTAATTACCAAATTTTGAAAAACAGCTTATTTTTCACATTTTTCCAAAATAAATTTTATTCTTTATTTAATAAGCTGTGTGTTATCCAAGGGAAGCGAAGAAATATGTGACGATTGCTTACAACTTTGCATACGGAAAAAGCCCAAATGATTCAAATCAAAAAGACATCCCAAAATTCCCTACCACATTTGATGAAGTAAAAGATCAGGTCACAATTCTATCACAAAAAGCCTACGATGCTGTTTTCAAGAAGTAGAAAAGATTGTAGAAGTTGTAATCAGACTTATGAGAGAATGCATTAATAAACTTAGTGTGAAAACTGTTCTCAAACGTTAATTTATTGAATTACAACATTTTAATTTTTTTTATCTTTTGTTCGGAGCTAGGATTTTGTCGAATATTCTCTTTTTGAATTTTTCTCGGCACCTATTTTATTTTTATAAATTAAGAACTTAAAAATGAACGTGCCTTTTCCAAAATAAAAAGTATCACAACTTACGATTTCGTTATCTCTAAAACATAAGCTTTCTTCTTAAGTATTTCTAAATTTCGGTATAATCCGCGTTCCTTCATTTCGTTTTCTTTTAATTTTTTCATAATGACGATTGCTTTCAAACGGTTTTCATACAATATAATTTTGTCAAAAAGTTTTCTTTTCTGCATTTCATCCAAATCATTTTTCTTTTTATTGATATTTTGGGCTTTAATAATCTTGTTAGTACTTTGAATCTTCTCATCGTTTACATCATTCCTAACTTGTTTAGAACGGATTGCTTGTGGTTTTACTTGATTCAAAAGATTACGATTGCTATTAAATCCCTCAGCTCTGCACATTATGTCTCTCTTATCCGTTTTTATGTGATGCTATTTTAATTTAAATAAAGTTTATAAACTTCGTGAACAAAAATTATATCATATGGCCCAATGTTTTTTAAGGATTTATGCTTAACGGAATTTGTAATCTATTAAAAAAATTTCATCATCGTTTTGTTCATTCAAGTTTGTTCACGCTACAATTTTAAATTTTAAATGAACATAACAGAATTAAATTTATACATCAATGAAGATTAACGAAGATATATCAAATTTCCCAAAAATTATTCATTAGTGAATCTTATTTAAATTGATTTTCTTCAGTAATTTTCTCTACTTTCAATAAGTCACTTTTAAGGATAAGGAAATAATCAAGAAAAATATAGCGTCACATAGATAGGTACAATTTATTTTTGACAAGGCCCCATTACATTTAGAACTTTGTAATTATTTGAATAGAAAAACAAAAAACTTAAAATTATTTTAAACATACAAACTTGCTTGACTTTTTTTGACTTCTTTTACTATGAAATTTCGGGCCTTTCACTTTTAATTTACTTGTCTTGTCTAACGTTTTGAACATATTTATCGATTAAAATATTTTTTTAAAGTGAGTGCTTAAAATGGTTGCTATGACTGTTGAGAATATATCAACTGTAATTTTATATTTAAATTGTATTTGAAACTATATTAAGTTGTTTTCCCCTTGTATTGTAGTTGTTGGCCAATAATTGAAATAAATTGGCAATTCCATGAATTGAATTTTGTTGAAGTTCCCTGTTTTTTCGTTATAAGGGCGATTCTACGAATGATTTTTTCTACAAATTTGTCTCCAAATCTATATTTCTCTTTATCAGTTGCATTACTCTCTATGTTTCATGTATTTAATAGTAGATTTTACCGAGATCTACATGTTGTTCTCACCCAAACATATTAAAAATGGTTAATTAAAGAATTATTTACATTCTACGAAAAATTACTCTGTTTCACATGAATTTTTTCGCCCAGTTTCCAAAATGTTTTCATTAAAAAATCTTTAAGGTGGTAAAACTTCCAGTAATACTAAGTATACAAAGTTATAGCTTAAAGTAAAAGCTTCAAAACGATGTCAAAATCATATTTTTGGAAGCCTTAATTAAGCTGCAATTTGGATTCTACGAAAAATTTCATTAGTGAAACAGAGTAATTTGAGGACAATTCCAAAACAAAACCACCAAATATTAAAATTAAAACCATGAATTTCTCAAGCCATAGCTAAGTATTTTGAGTGCAGATGTAATCATAATTCACAGTTTAACCAATAGAAAAGGAAATGAGAATTAGATTTTTGAAAAACTATGCACAAGTGAAAATAAAATAATTAAAATTTTTCATGCAATTGACACGGATTATTTTCATGAAACCTTTTCGTAGAATTGCCCATAAGCTACTACTCGTTACTAAGCTACTAGCTTAGTAAAGTTTTTTGAACTTGAAATTTTTTTGTAATCTTTACTAAGCTACTACCAAAAATAAAGCATAATTAATCTTTTTCAACTTTCTAAGTATCAGTTTCAATGCCTTATGACATTGTCAATGAAATAAAATCGAGAAGATAGCAAAATTTCTTTAATTAAGTTAAAAAATTCAAAATTTTCATTGAATTTCAATTTCTTTACTAAGCTATCTTCATTTACTATTATAATTTCATATACATCGTTGTGATCAAAAAATATATTCGTAATTAAAGTAAAATTAGATATATTTTAAATAATTTTTTTACGGATTAAGATAAGAAGCTCTTTTGTGTTGGAATATTTCATTGATTTCATTAAGATTATTTCTTTTTCTGCCTAATGAATGCATTTTAAGTTAATGTAGGTATGCAGAACCATAAAAAAGGATAGAATGAACTGCATAATAAAAAACAAATAATAAAATAATAACAACAACCATTATTAGCAGTGTTGAAACAAAGTAACCTTTGTCCAGATTTTGCCTTTGCATGCACAAAAAAGGCAAACGGAAAAAAATCAGGGACTAAAATGAATGAAAAAATCTATGATGAAAAACATCATTATTTTTGATGATGAAAAAAATTATGATTTTTTTCATTTACATAAATTATTACGTAAAATTTCATCACGTAGGAATTATTTTAACGTAGAATTTCATCACATAAAGCAAAAAATGACGTTTAAGATTTTTCTACATACTTTTTTAAAGCTTAAACCTATCTGTTCTTATTATTTAGCATTATTTATTCATTTGGTTTGATTTTATTGCATTTTTTGCTTTATGTGATGAAATCCTACGTAAAAATGATTCTTACGTGATGAAATTTTACGTAATAATTTACGTTAATGAAAAAATCATAATTTTTTTCATCATCAAAAATAATGATGTTTTTCATCACAGATTTTTTTCATTCATTGTGGTCCCTGAAAAAAATTGCCTTTGCAAAGGCAATGACTGTGCCTTTAAATTTGTCTTTGCGGTTCATAAAAATATATTAAGATGTTTTAATACATGAAAACTTCAAAAAAATAGTTTATATGGATTCTTACTGCTAGGCGATTCTCCAGAACGCACAATGATTCAGATTTGAAAAAAAATTTCAAATAACCCCTGTGCATAATATTTTTCAGACACATTGAAATAATGAAATTTTTCGTTGATATTCTCTAGTTTAGGACTTTTAATGTTTTTAATCTTACTTGATTATTGAATCTACTCAAAATATTAAGTCATGAAATTGAGGATAAACAAATTTTTTTTACAAATTTTACAAATGTTTATCAAAAACTTTGGCGCACGATAGTAATTTGTATGAAAAATTAACTGATTTTCAATCGCAAATATCTCTCTTCGGGCATATTTGGGCATGTCCACATTAATATGGAAGGTTAATTAGACTTTATTCTTTGGATTTTAATAGGTTTGATAGAAGCGGAGAGACGCAAATTTAACTTATGAGTATTTAAAGTCTTGGTTAATTTCAAAAAAATTAATCATGAATATTCGCCCAATTAATAGATTCTCCTTTGGTTTCTTCACATAAACACGAAGTACTAAGCTTAATTAAGCTAGTTATCAGCATTAAAACTGGAAATTAGAAGGAGAAAGGAGAAAAAAATTAAGAAAAATATTTGTTGTCATTTTGTAAACATTTTGTAAACAAATTGATTGTCATCTTAGAATCGAATTTTTGTGAGTCAGACAACATATTGGAATGAGATATTTTTACAGAACATAAAACAAATCATGTACTTTAAACTAGCATTCAACAAATATATTTTAATTAAATTGTTATTTTTGAATTAATGAACATTTTTTTCAAATTTGAATCATTGTGCATCATAAGTAATATATTCTGCAATTTCTTTCAATGTAGAATGATTTGAAATTTTAAATTAGTTTACAACAATCAATAATAATTTACTTTTATAATAAATGATGAAATTTTTCAAAAGTGTAGCTTAAAATAATAAAGTGTAATAAATAGGGTTGATAAAATATCTGATCATTATTTATTACTCATTACATATAATGAAATTATTAATTTGAAGTGTGAGAATTCTGAGGTGAATGTAATAAGAAATTATGCAAAAGAAAAATTTTGTGGCATGATAAATGAAAAATGCGAGTTAAAAAGTATTGAAAATATTCAAGAATTTTTTGAAGTTGTAGGGTCTTCAATTTCAAATTTTATTAGGAGAGAAAAATTTAAGAAAAAGAAATTTAATTTTGATGATGAATTAAAAAAATTAAAAAGTGATAAAAAATTAGCTTACGATATCTTTTTACTAAGTAGTGAAGTAAATGATTACGAGAAATTTAATATTATTAACAAGAGCTATAAGTATAAACTAAGAGTTAAAAAAAACGAAAAATTCCGTAACCAACTTATGGCTAATAAATATGATTCTAAGAGACTATGGATAAACTTAAAAAGTTTAAATAAATCAAAAAATGAAAAAATTAATTTTGTTAAAACAAAAGATGTGATTTATGATGTACCAAATTCTATAGCAAACGAGTTAAATAAGGCTTTCATTAGTTCTATCAATGAAATAATAAATAGTATTGAGGATTCTATTAGACAAGATTATTTAAATAACATTCAAGGGTCTGAAAACACATTTGATTTGATTACAAAAGATAAAGAAAATTTAAAGTTCTTTCTGAACGTTGTTAAAGATAAAAATTTTGATGACTTTATAAGTGGAGGAAACCTAATTGATATATGTGCAAATGAAAATTTAAATGAAGTAATGTTAAAACTAATTAATAAGTCAATAATTGAGTCTGAAATGCCTGATATTTTCAAATTATCATTAATTTCACCAATTCCCAAAGTAAATAATCCAACTAGTCCTGAAGAATTTCGGCCTATAAATAATTTACCTGTTGGTGAAAAGTTAATTGAGAATATTATACATTATCAGCTAAAAAATTTTCTAGAAGATAAAAATATAATTGTTGAAAATCAACATGGATTTTGAGAATCTCATAGTACTGAAACAGCGATGATAAAATTAGTTGATAATATTGTGAAAAAAATAATGAGAAGAATTTTGTAACTGTAGCAGTGTTATTAGATTTCTGTTGCTTAGAGATTAACGGCGTTTCATTTTTCAAATTTTGTACTTTAGATAAAGTTTGCTGGCCCGTTTGGGGCTTCTTATCGTTCTTTTCTTTTTAAGTGTTCAAGTTTGGTGGACGTGATCTTTCACGAAGTAATTTTTTTAATTTCATTTCCTTCCACCTTTTCTATTCATTTAAAAATTGTTTTACTTTTAGAAAAATTGAATCGTAATTGTTTCAATACAAAAATATAAATTCACGATACAATTATTTGTGTTTTATTCGTCCACTCGACATCATTCAATTTTTTTCTATCTGGGTCCGAAAATTTCATTGTTTAAGTCGATCTATTGAAAATAAAGATATTTTACTAGTTCCTAGCGAACTATAAACCATTTATGAAGACGTTACGAGAAAATTTGGGGAACTAGATTCACAAATTTTCTTGAAATTGGCGAAATTCATTTCGAAACAGACTTTAGGTTATTAGCAGAAAAGATTTTCAGCTGGCTGGTGACCAGCTCACCGCAGCTGATCATTCTAAGTGCTTTCATAAATGTAGTAAGCAAGCTGGTGACATGCTCAAATGTCAGAATGTGAACGCGATAGGAAAATTGCCTTGTGATTCGAAAGTTCATGTCACTTGCATACAAAGTTTGGAATCAGGCATATTACCGTTTCTTGCGACCTTCTTCTGTGCCAAATGCTGTTCCGCAAATACAAATATTAAAGAGGAAATGGTTAAGATTGCGGCTGAAGCAAGACAAGCTCTTGCAAAGTCACAAATTTCTTTACCAAATCCTCCGAAGGAAAATGATGAGATCCAGAAATTGCAAATCACAATTAAAAATTTGCAAAGTCAGCTAGCTACTACAGCAAAACAATTGCAGGCGCAATTAGTGTTGAATGATAATGTTCAGAAACGTTTTGAGAATCTGGAAGTCGAAAGAAATGAATTGAAGGAGAAAGTATTGAAGTCGCAGTCATGTCTCGATACACATTTGAAAAGATCGTTTTC